TGTGTTCAGATGCTGGCATTGGAGATGAGGTGGAAATAGAATACAAGTGAATGTGTAACAGAACTGAGAGACTGGGGGCCATGGAGGGAGAGAAGGAGGAGCAGTGGTGAGAAAGGTCCCTGCAGGCCTAAGGGAGAGGCGGGTGCACAGGAAGGTACAGTCTGAAGGGGGATTTTAAGAATGGAGCCCTTCTAGGTGGAGTCAAGGCTCAGATTTTGGCCAGGGAGTGGCTTGCTGAGAGAAAGCTGAAAGTCCACAGGATTGCAGAGGTCAAGAAGCTGTAGGCAAGGGTGCTGGATGGGTTGCCTGCCAGGGTGTCGAAATCTTCCCAGGTGGCGGCCCAGAGGCTGGCTGAATCAGTGCTACAGTGAGTAGGGTCATGACTTGGAGTCCAGTTGTGGGATTGCAACTTGGAAAGGAGAAGGGAAAAGCCCCCAGAGTGAGAGGCAGCTTGTTTTTCTTTATGAGACGGAGTCCTGTTCTGTTGCCCAGGCTGGAGTGCAGTGGCATGGTCTCTGCTCACTGCAACTTCTGCCTTCCGGGTTCAAGCAATTCTCCTGCCTCATTTTCCCAGGTAGCTGGGATCAGAGCCCCACACCACCACCAGGCCAATCTAAGTTTTGTAGTTTTAGTAGAGACGGGGTTTTGCCATATTGGCCAGGCTGGTCTCAAACTCCTGGCCTCAAGTGATCCACCCGCCTCAGCCTCCCAAAGTGCTGGGATTACAGGCGTGAGCCACCATGCCGGCCTACTCTTTTTTTCTTTCTTTCTTTTTCTTTTTTTTTAATAAGGGCGAAATAGCCTGACACAGACCAGTATGGAGCTGGAGAGAGCCACCCTGTCCTCTCCTCAGCTCAGGTGAGGACGTGAGAGCCAGGGGAGCTGAGAGCCCTGCTCCTGGAGGCCAGGGATTGGGGAAAACCAAGTGGCCAGGCCTCGGAGCTAGGACGGCTAGAACTGCTGCTGAGGGACGGGCAGCTGTTCTGTCCCAACCCCAGGACCAAGGAGTTCACAGATGTAAAACACTTAGTGCCTGGCACTGAGCAAATCTAGTAGCACTATTATTATTAATTTGTACAAAGTAATTAAATGTTTTTCAGGTAATGCTAAAAGGCAGTTCCAGACACTGCCCAAGAAATGTGATTGACCCATTCTGCTACAGGCAGGCGGGATGGTCTTTCCCCCACTTTCCCCCTCCCTTTCTCATTTGTAGATCCTTCTGGCATTCTTTCATGTCAGCCAGGCCCTGGCTCAAAGCTCAGAGGCCACACTGACGAGCGGCATGGACTTGGGCAAACTTGAGCCTCATCTGTAAAATGGGTACCGATGCCTCCTGGAGTTGGAAAGGGCATCTGTGCTATGGCCCCCGAATCTAGCCGGCACCCTGAGCTCAACATCACCAGTGCCACAGGATTGGTTGCTGCTCAGAGGCTGAGCAGATCCCAGGAGCAGAAAAGGGAAAGCGGGGGAGCCCAGCCAGGTTCTGGAATCCCACAGCCCCGGCAGAGGGGCAGGAAGGAAAGGAGATGGGGAGAGGGCTTTTCATTCCACAGAGGCGGTAATTCATCATGTCTTAAGATCCAGGAATACAATCCAGACACTGGGAACTCTAAGGCTCAGGAGCACAGAAAGGCTAAGTTCCTTCGCCTGTGGTTAGGTGGGTGGTCTCTGTAGTTCCCCATTTAAACTGGGAACTGAGCAACCAGCCACTACCACATGCCTCTGTCTGGCCCATTTCTGGCCATGGTCTTAGTCCCAAAGGCCCTTCTAAGGGCCTTGGGTGGTCACTGGCCCTTCCCAGGGTCCCTGCTGGGGTTCTCCCTCCCCCGAGTAGACTGCTCACTCCTCAAGGGATGGGGCTGGCAGGAAAAGCTGGGGTGAACTTGGGGGTTTGTCCTAAAAATGCCTCATCACAGAGCTGGAAGGGACAGATAGGACGGCCAGGTCGGAGCTTCTTGCACGATGAGGCTCTCCCAGGGGGCCTTCATCCTGGTTCGCTGCTGGGCAGGTAATAATGATGAAGATAGGAACGTTTGTTCATACCTGTCCCAGGTCTCATTTCACAGGTGATAAAACTGAAGCTTGCAGAGTTAAATGTACCAAATGTAACAGAGGCGGTGAGTGTCAGAGCAGGATTTGAACCCACATCTTCAGGGCCCTGATGCCTGTGTGCTGGCCCCCTCCACATGCAGTGCACAAGTATTCAGTGAGTGGGGTGAGCCCAGCTCTGGCCAGGTGTTGGGGAGGGGTCAGGCAGGGCCACAGGGTACATGGTGTAGAACGAAGAGGCTGGATTTCAGGGGTCACATGGGACTCTCAGTCCCAGCTCAACCACACCATCAGGGGCCTCAGTGAGTTACTTAACCTCTCTGGCCTCAGGTGTCCATGGTGGAAAACGGGGATAATAGTTCTGGCAGAGAGATGCGGAAAGGAATAAGTCAGAAAATGTAGGTGTAACCCAGATGTCAGCTAGGGACTCCCAGTTTCCTGAGGTCTAAGCATGATGAATGCTAACCCCTACACCAGGGGTGGAGGAACCCAGGGTCTTCCCCAGGATTTCTGCTGGCGCCCTAGAATGGCAGTGCAGTGGGGCTTAGGTTCCAGGGGTCCTCAGCCTCTAGGCCCTGCTTCTGCATTTCTCTCTGTGCCACCCTGTGATAACCCAGGCGCAGCGTCTGTCCCTGCCTGTCTTCTCATTCTGGATCGGGGAGCAGGTGGGGGCCTTCACTGCACAGTGGATAGGGAAACAGCTTCTGCTGGTACACAGCACGTTCAGGTTCTTCACATGTCCTTCAGTCACTTCACTGGGGACTTTGGCCTCCCCACTGCACAGTGCCAAAGTCCCAGCCACTGCCTCTCACAGCCCTGGCCCTGCCACCCCTCTCTCCTCCTCACCCCTGCCTTTCCTGCAGTGTTCTCCAGACTCCTCTCCCTTTGTTCAGGCAGCCCATGGGGCCTCCCATGTCCTCTGCCAACTCCTCTAGACTCCTCTCTGCACATCCAGCCCAGCCAGGTGTTTGCAGGGCAAAACGATCTTCATGGAAGCTACCTTCTTAGAGGTGGTGATAACAAATAAAGGCAGGGGCTGTATGCGGTGTCTCCTGCCTGTAATCCCAGCTACTCGGGAGGCTGAGGCAGGAGAATCGCTTGAATCCGGGAGGCGGAGATTGCAGTGAGCCGAGATCGCACCACTGCACTCCAGTCTGGGCAACAGAGAGAGACTCTGTCTCAATAAAGAACGAAATAAAGGCGGTGAGGGCACACGTGGAGTGAGCTGCCTCCCCATCCCTGCCTTCGATCCTTACTGGCAGCCTGCCCTTAAGAAGTGCACGTGGGCCGTGTAGTAAAACCAGTTCTTGTGTTGTGCTCTCTGAAGACCATTTGGGAAAAAAATATTGCTCTGAGGGGCTTGATGCAAACTCAGGGAGAGGAGCAATTTAGGGAAAACAGACAAGCAACTCAGATTTTGCCCCCATTGACAACTCACTATATGACCTCCTTACTTCAGGGACCTGGACTTTCCAGTCACCTGTGATATGGGGAAGGGGGATGGGATCGAACCAAGTGGCCTCCCGGGGCCCTTCAGGCTGTCACTTCCTGGAGAAGCTCTGGGAGGAATGACAAGCCCCACTTCCCCCTCAGCCAAGTCACTGCCCTACCCCTGTGGGTTGTAACAGCCGGGCAGCCCCTGCCCTCAGAAAGTGTGTGCGAAGCCAGATGCAGGCAGAGGGGCTGCGACCCTTGCTAGGCAGAGCAGTGTGGCCTGAGCTGGGGGCCTGCACTGCACATGAGGAAGGCCCGGGAGGGAGAAGTGGGTCCCATTTCCTGGCCCAGCCACCGACTGTGACTTTGAACAGCTAGCTTCCTCTCTCTGAGCCGTGGTTTCTTATCTGATAAGAGGGAGTGCCTGGCTTCGAGATAGGGGCTGGGCCATGGGTTGGCCTGGCCCAGACTCGAAAAAGGAGGCTTTAAGGGCTTAGCCAGCCTCTGAACTCTACCCTGTACACAAAGAAATCAGCATTAAGAAAGGAAGAGAAATATTACAGCGCAGGAGCCTAACGGCCTAGAGGAAAGCGATGGGAATTGCTCACAGCACCCTGGTCAGCAGCCTGGTTCATTCGGCGGACACCACCTTGGATCTTGTCAGTGCCAGTCCTGGACGAGGCCACACAACCAATCCTGGTCACACCCGACCTGGCCGCATCCCCTCCTGCCCCTTGTGGTGGTTCCATCAGGCTCTGATCCCACCCTTAGCCTCCACCAGGGTGGCACTCCCAAAGAGCTCCATCGTCTCAGACCGCGCAGCCGCCTGGCTACCCCATCGACCCTGGGTTTTGAGTGAACGAATGACTGCTGTCAATAACGAGTGTTTATCGAGTGCCGGCCCAGAGTTATGCACTGAGTATGGTGGGCGCTGTGATGCCCATCCCAGGTCACCCTTTGGTGAAGGAGTTGTTGCCCCAGCTGCTGGGAGGGTGGCCGTTTAGCTGCGTGCCCCTGCAAGGGTGGACTCAGTGGCAGCGAGTCATCTCCCAGGATCTCACCTCTTCCCGGGCAGCCAGCTTCAGTGACTGAAGGATGCAACAGCAGAAAGCTCTGACACCCTTGGCCCAAGGGTGGCAGTTCTGGCTCCAGAACCCCCGTGGGGCTGGCTGAGGCTGCCCTCAGGCCCCACATCCCAGCCTGGCGTCGCCCTGCCCAGTCCTGCTTCCTGTCCCCCTATCCACAGGAGGCCCCACCCCCTCAGAGCCTGCTTCCCACACGATAGAGACATGGCCCTTACGCCACTCAAGAGTGCTCAGCCTAGCTGGAAATAGAAACAACAGCAATAGCAGTAATAATAAATACCATTTACTCTACTACTTCCTACATTCACTCTACTGTCTCCCATTGGCCAGGCAGCATGCAATGCATTTTATATTTTCTTTTTTAAATGGTTTAATGTATTTTTTTGTAAACACAGGGTTTCGTTTCGCCGTGCTGCCCAGGCTGGTCTCGTATTCCTGGGCTCAAGCCATCCTCCTGCCTTGGCTTTCCAAAGTGTTGGGATTACAGGTGCAAGCCACTGTGCCTGGCCTTCAATGCATTTTACATCCGTTGTCTCTGTATGACTGAGAGTCAGGCCTCTCTCAGTTGAAATAGCCAGAAACCCAATCGAAACAGCTTAAGTAAAACAGAGCATATATTGGTCCAGGTAATGGGAAAGTCTAGTAAGTCCGGTAGACTTCGTGCTTTAGCCGCTGGGGGAGCCAAGTGTGGCCACAGGGCTGAGAGTCCATGTGTCCCTCCTGGTGGCTCTGATTCCATGGTGCCGGCCTTAGTCTCAGACACAGTCTCTTCATTTGGTGTCTGTGTTCATTTCCTGCAGCTGCTGTAACAAATCACCCCGAACTCGTGTAGCCTAACACAACAGAAAGTGATTCTCTCCCAGTTGTGGAGGCTGGAAGTCTGAAGTCAGGGTGTGGGTAGGGTGTTTTGAGGCTCTAAAGAGGAGGCTGTACCCTGCCTCTCTCCAGGCTCCTGGGCGGTGCCAGCCATGCTTGGCATCCCTCGGCTTGTAGCTGCCGCGCTCCCGTCTCTGCTGCTGTCATCACTCGGCCTTTTCCCTGTGTGTGTCTGTGTCTCGATTTCTGTCTTCTTAGAAGGACACAAGGCGTTGGACAGAAGCCACAAGCCACCCTAATCCAAGATGGCTTCATCTTCACTTGCCGACATCTGCAAAGACCCTTTTTCCAAATATGGTGGAAAAAGGTGCAGGGGATTAGAACTCGAGCATATCTTTTTGGGGTACACATTTCAACCCACAGCAGTGGCTAAAGGCTTCAGCTTTCCTTCTATCTACCTAGTGACTCCAGTGGGAAAGAAAGCTTCAATAACTCCAGCTAACACCTCAAGTATGTTCCCACCAGCCTGTTTTGAGTCATAAGTTCATCCCTGGGAATCTGACTCTGTGACCGTGGTGAGGGAATACTCTTATTGACCTGGCCTCAGTCATGATCTTATGCTGGAACCAGGAGTGAGGTCAGCCACCCCTGGACCACATACCCAACAGAAAATCCAGGGGACATCACCAAAAGAAAGGGGCAAGGATGATGGGAAGGTCAAAAGAACAGATTCCACTCAACCATCAGCACCCCCAGGTACCTACAGTGTGGGCCTGATTTCCATTTACTGAAGGTTGACAAAGTTAATGACTTGCAACCAGCTAATGGGATTGGAACTGAGCTGAGACTCTAACTCAGGCCTACCTAGCTGAAAAACTAGGCTCTTTCCCCAACAGGACTTCAGACGGTGGTGTCCCTTGCAATGGAGGAGGTGGGACTTGGGCTGTGTCTTGAGTGGAGGGAAAGGGAAGACCGCCCTGGGAAGAAGAGGCCTGGAGTCTGCAGAGCCCATGGCCTTCGGCTCGAGGCAGAGGATTCTCTTGGGGGAGGGATGAGAGTGAGGTCCACTGTGTAAGGCCTCAGGTGTCTTCTGTTTTCCTTGGGCAGTGGGGAGTCACTGAAGACTTAGGAGCTGGAGAGACTCTGCCGTCGATCGGCTCATGGTGCTGGTGTAAGGGGTCCTCCGGGAATCAGGAGCTGAAAAGGTGTGAAGTGTTGACTGGGCGGGGAGACGCTGGCAGGGAGGAGGCTGTGGCCACAGTCAGGTAAGAGGTGATAAGGCCTGAGTGGGGCAGGAGAGGAAGGCCCTGGCACCTCCACCCATCCCCACCCAACAAGCCCCAGGTCCCGCTCTAATTCCATCTCACCCCAGCCCCCACCCACCCCACCCCAGTGATACACAGGGTCCAAGACCAGCTGGGATTTCCCTCACACTCAAAAACCCCTCTCAGCAAACTGTTCTCATGACCAGTGTATGAGCCAGCCTTGAGTGGCAGGTCATCACGTCCTGGCTAGTCACATTCTGCCACCCGCCAAAAGAAATTTCCCCAGCCAAGAGGGCAAGCAAGGCCAGCCGTGGAGCCAGCTTCTCTACTGCCTGTGATTCAGGAAACAGGGACGGGGACTGGGAGAGGGGCAGCCGTGCCCCAGGGACCCAGCGGGCGGGCTCCTCTGCGTGCTGTCTGCAGTGATGAGCGCCTACCCACTGGAAGGCCCACAACTGAGGATGGAAGCCCACGGGCTGCTGGGGAAACATCCCAGAGGCCCGGATTAGGGTCTGGGAAGGGCAGGGGATGAGGGGCCGCTCCCTTCAGAGCCCAGGTTTGAATTTCCCATCTAACAGGTGGGTAAGAACTGGGGGCTCCGTGAGTCTTTCAAAGATGAGGCAGAGGCTTGCAGGACAGGAAGGAGGTTCCCATCATCCCCTGAGTCAGGCAGTGACGCCCTGGTGAAGTGTGTGCATCTGTACACGCATATACACACTGAGAGTGAGGGCTCAGGGCGCCATTCTCTGGTGATACCTGTGTCCGTGCAGAGAGTCTCAGGCCACAGTTAGAACCATGCTATTCCCCCAGGGTCCTGGAGGAGATGGAATGAGACCTTTCCCCGCTGGGCCCCCAGATCTTTCGGGTGACTAAGCGTGGAGGGCCCTGCTCACCTTTCCTGTGCCTGCCGCTGCTGAGAGAAGGGGAAGCCGGTGAGGGGAAGTGTAGACAGCTCTGGGTTTTCTCCGTGAGCATTCCCGGCCTGCCACAGGGGCGCTTGCTGCTGTAGCTGCGGGGAAGCGCCTGGAAGGGGCTTGCTGTCTGCAGCGGAGGGAAGGCCCTCATTGACTCAGTGGCTTGGCTTTTTCCTAGAGTTGTCCCCGGTGCTGAAAGCAGCCAGCTCCGGCTGGCTCCCTGAGTGTCCTTCTCCTGGGACAGCTGAAGGTTTTGCTCTGGGGGCTGTCAGGCTCTCCGGGACCGCAGGTTTCCCCAGGGTCTGGAAATGGGGAGTGGGATGGGATGAAGAGCAGATCCCATTTCTCAGGAGTTGATTAAAAAGGTGGACAGGGTGAGGTGAGGGGGAGGCTACCCATTGCATTGTTTAATGTCATTCATAAAGTTTGAACCAGAAAAACATCTTGTATTCTGCTGGAAAGCTGTTGTGCTTCCTTTTATCAGAAAAGGAGAATTGATACCAGCAGCCTTTATGTTTTGGACGAGACGCCGGGAGGTTGTGTTCAGGTGAGGCTCGCTTGGCCCAGGTTCTGGGGCACCCTCTCCTCTGCAGCCTAGGCTTGTGTTCTTTTAACCTGACTTTAAAGTCCTATTATCATTGCGTTTCCATTGTGAGTCATCTCAACTCTTTCAGAAATAGGCAGGATAGAATGCGTGAATGAACGAATGAATGAATGACAGTAATCATGGGGTACTTACTATGTGGCAGGCCCTGTAAGCACTTTACAGTATGGGCTTATTTAAGCCTCCCGGTGACCTGATGAGGAAAATATTATTTGTATCCCCATGTTACGACCCGGGGAACTACAGCAGGCAGGGAATAAAAGCAGCCGGTGGGTGGTGGAGCCGGGCAGTCTGGCTCCCGCATCCTCTTTCCTACTGGCCATGCTGTGCTGCCTCTGAGAATGATTGAATGAGAAACGCTCATTCATCACGCGTGGAGGAAGAGGATGGATGAGGGGCAGGGTGGTGACCTGGTGCTGGAGCCGGAGGGTCAGTGTTGATGCCGGCAGTGATGACAGCCGGGCGATGGAGACGGGGCTGGTGAAGAGTCCTTCCAGCCTGGCTGCGTCCAGCTGTCCTGTGAGAGGGCTCCTCCAGGGAAGACATGAGACAGCTGATGCAGCAGGAAGGGTCCTGGTCCCTGGCTTGGCTTCTGGCCTGGTGCCCTGCTTGCCCTCTCTTGGCCTCCCTCTGCTCACTTGGGAGATGGTTAGTGGGATTCAGTGATTTGGGAGGCCTTGCAGCTTAGACACACATGGCTTTTCTCTCTCTCTCTCTCTCTCTCTCTCTCTCTCAGAGACACAGTCTTGCTGTTACCCAGGCCGGAATGCAGTGCTATGATCTTAGCTCATGGCAGCCTCGACCTCCTGGCCTCAAGTGATCCTCCCACCTCAGCCTCCTGAGTAGCTGGGACTACAGCCACACATCACCACACCTGGCTAATTTGTGTCTTTTTTGTAGAGACAGGGTTTCGCCATGTCACCCAGGCTGGTCTCGGACTCCCGGGCTCAAGCAGCCCATCCTCTTTGGCCTCCCAAAGTGCTGGGATTACAAGCATGACCCTGCCCAGCCAGACTCACGGCTCTTCTTTCTGCTCAGAGTTGGGCAGCTGAGCCCCAGCAGGACCTGAAAGGATGGGAAGTCCTTGGGGCTAGGAGAGGGGCATAAGCCTCAAGCCCGTGCCCAGCCCAGACCACCCTGTCCTTTCTGAGAACAGCTGAGGTAGAACCTGGTTCTCAGAGCTGGGAAGGAACCCAGAGACCATCTGACCTGAACGTCCCTTGTACAGACAAGAACACTGAGGCTCGGGGAAGGGAAGAGACACTCCCAGGGGCCCAGGACTGACCCTGCCTCACAGCCAGCCTTTCCCACTGTCCATTGCTCTTTCCTGAAAGCCCCAGTAACCAGGCAAGAGGGTGGGCCAGTTCTGGGTTACAGGCAAAAGGAATCTTGGAGCATCTGGCTGGGCCAGTGGGATCTCTGGCTTGTCCCTTGGGGCTTTGTGTCATCCTGGGCCACGAGTCAGAAAAGCATCACTGGGACACCAACCCAGGGCACCATGGCTTTGGGGTCAAACAGTCGTTGATGACAAATCCCCACGCGTAAGGTGCGGAGTCAGCTCTGGGAAAGGGGCAGGAGAGGCTGTCTCTCTTTTTGGCAACTTTCCCTGGCCCCTGACTCCTGTGACCCTCTCCCAGCTCCACTCCTCCTCCCCACAGTGCTTCTCAGCCCCAGGCTTGCCCTCTGTTTGTAGCCAGTGGTGTCTTGAAAAAGGATCTGATGGGTCCGTATTAGGATGATAACGGTAGAGACAGGCGAGAGAAAACCCCACAGCGAGAGATCAAGCTTCGAGCGCCCATGCTGCCGCCTGCTCCCCGCTGTGTGGTCTTGGACCAGTCATTTCAGCCTCCTTCTCTGTAAAACACAGGCCTGGCGGTGGGGGTCTGGAAGACCTTCTGCCTTCTAACATTTGGGGATTGTGAAGTACAGCCTCTCTGATGGTGTCTTTGTGTTATAAAGAAAAAGAACTGAAATGGGGGAGCCATAGTCCAAAAAGCTGTGACTCCAGTGAAGAACTGCGGGTTTCAGGAGGCCTGTGGGAGGAATTGGGCCGGGGGTGTTTTGGTTGGGCAACCCTGCCTACATTGCGTCCTCCCACCTCCTGCCTGAAATAGCAGTCCCGGCCGGCAGGCCCTCAGGGGCATCAAAGCTGAGCTGCGGCCCCACCCTGAGGCAGAGGGCCTGGGGCTTGGGTCGTGTAAGGACATATGGACAGTGTGGGCACCACACCTGCCCCTACACTGCCACCCAGGCACACCCAGACACACAGGAGACTTCCTTTAGGAACCCCTCAAACTCATGCAGCCCTAGAGTGCGGGCCTGGAGGCCCCAAGATTCCTGAGAAAAGTGAGGCCGCATTGGACCTCCCTAGACAGCTCTCTCTGCCCTTGTTTAAGCTGCCCAGTGGCCCCCACTCCACAGAAGGTGCCACCCACCCGCCTGCCATTCCCATCCACTCCCATGAGACGGAGCCCCTGCCTCAGTCAGCCCATCAAGACCAGCGTCTGGGCCCACCCTTTGGGGCCGGTTTCTCCAGGGAATCTTGCTCAAAGCATTGACAGAGTAAGAGAACAATATTGAAGAATAAGCTTTACCTTATGTAATCTCTTACCTCAAAGGCAGGGCGTTTGACAGGTGAAGAAACTGAGGGCTGCAGAGGGGAGGGGGCTTCCTGGGTCGAAGGTAGCAGGCGGGAATCAGGGCTTGAAACAGGGACCCTGCACACAGGCCTCAGGCTGGACGGCACCCAGCACGTGGGCGAAGAAGCTCCATGGTCTGGAGGCGAAAGCACAGGCTGGAGCCCCAGCCTCCCCGCCCTCCTCTGTGTGCAGGCTGCGTCTGCCTCACAGGGTCCCATCTTATGGGATGGTGTTGAGGAGGCGACAAGGCTACAGAGACACGTGGTCAGGATGCGTTATCGATATTATTCTTGCCACTATTATTATGCCCGCTATGGCAAATGTGACTTTGTGTGCCTCAGGTGCCAAGCCCGAGACCTCATGAGATGCCAGCAGAGACCACCCCGCCCAGCAGGTGACAAGTCTCCCACAGCACCCCAGGAAGCCGCCCTCTGGCCTCTGACGTCCGTCCTCTCCGGGGCCTCTCCTTCCTTGTGGTTCTGTGTTAAAAATCTCCCTCTGTCTTCCCCACCGACCCTCTGACCACAATGGCCCAGGCTGCCTGCCCCTCTGTGCACATGGTGACTTTTGCTGAAAAGCAAACATCACTGGGGCGCCCAGCCTCGTGGTTTCAGGCTGTGCGGTTTACCTCATGACGTCATTTTCCTTCCTCCAGATAAACCAGAAGAGACTTTACTGCTCAGCTGGTCCTGGGGAAATGGTGCCTGCCCTGACTCGTGGAAGGTTCAGGGTGGGCATCTGGGCCGTAGCCAGGGCTGAGAAGAGGTCCCCAGGCTTAGCCAAGGCTCACAGTGACCTGTGTCTGAAGGAGGGTTTCTGGCTCCTACTTTGTTAGCATAGACTCAGACAGCCCGGGGGGTGGTGCTTCCAAGGTGCAGAGGAAGGGTAGGGGCCACAGCAGCCAGAGGCTTGTCCTGAAGCCCCCGACTGCCACTCCCAGCCACCAGAAAGCGTGGACCTTCTGGGCCTTTGTGGCAGACCACCAGGCCCGGAGCCACCATCCACACAGGGAAGGAAGACAGTGGCAGCTCAGCCTGGGGAAACCGCCCCTTCCCCAGACCGGGTCGTCCCTTCTCCGCGTCTCCTGTGCTGCCAGCCAGGTGGGGGATAGGGTTTCCCAGGGGCGGGCACAGGGGAAGGGGCCACCACCTCTCCTGAATACCCACCCCTGCCCAGGCTCTGTGCTTTATGGTCTCTTTGACCGTCCTCACAGCCCTTTGAAGTCTGTCTTTCATAGAGTGCTGTTTCCAGATGACAGGCCCAAGGCTCAGAAAGGTTTGGGACCCGCCCAAGGTTGCAGCTAGCAATGGGCCTGGCACACAGTTGGTATTCAGGAATGTTTGTTTCCCAGAAAGGAAGGGAGATGCTACCTTTCCTCTGAGAAGCAACCGGAAGTCTCCAGGCTTGCAAGACAGTTTCTGTGCTGAGGACAGCTGGACCCATGACAACGTGGGGCCCTGACTGGGCCGCGCCTCCTCTCTGAGGCGGCTGGTGCATTCTGCTCCCTCGGGAGCTTGGCTATCAGGCTGTGGTCTGGGGTCTAGAGTGGCCACAGCAACACAGAGTCATCTCCGTTCAGATCCAGCCACTGCTGGGGAAAACCCTGACCCTTCTACCTTCCCCGTGGGGTCCCCTTTCCTTCCACCTGCACCAGGTTCTCACGGGCTCTCTGCCCATGCCCAGCAGCCTCCCTCTGCAGGGCACTGAGGGGGAAGTAGGGGTGGGCAGGAGGGCAGAGAAGACAGACAGAAGACATGTTCCTGTCTTCAGGAAACCAACGCTGTTTTCAGGACTCACCATAGGAACAATGACCACTGCCACCATCACCACGGTGCGGAATAATCACTGCACATCCCGAGCGCCAGCCTAAGCAGGTCCCACAGATGTCTCATTTAATCCTTGTTCAAAATCAACCTGTGGGCCAGGTGCGGTGGCTCACGCCTGTAATCTCAGCACTTTGGGAGGCTGAGGTAGGCGGATCACTTGAGGTCAGCAGTTCAAAACCAGCCTGGCCAACATGGTGAAACCCCGTTTCTACTAAAAATACAAAAATTAGTTAGGTGTGGTGGCTGGCACCTGTAATCCCAACTACTCTTGAAGATGAGGCAGGAGAATCACTTGAACCCGGAAGACAGAGGTTGCAGTGAGCCGAGATCACACCAAGAGCAAAACTCTGTCTCAAAAAAAAAAAGAAAAGAAAAGAAAAGAAAAAAAAGAAAGCTGGGCACAGTGGCTCACACGGTAATCCCAGCACTTTGGGAGGCCAAGTCAGTCGGATCACGAGGTCAGGAGATCGAGACCATCCTAGCCAACATGGTGAAACTCCATCTCTACTAAAATACCGAAAATTACCTGGGTGTGGTGGCGGGCGCCTGTAGTCCCAGCTACTTGGGAGGCTGAGGCAGGGGAATCGATTGAACTCGGGAGGCAGAGGTTGCAGTGAGCCAAGATCGCGCCACTGCACTCCAACCTGGGCGACACAGTGAGACTCCATCTCAAAAACAAAACAAAACAAAACAATAAAACAACAAGGAAACAACCTGTGAAGTGGCTATTATTTTTCCCATTCTATAGTTTCCTGCCCAAGATCACCCAGCTAGGAAGTGGCGGAGCTGGGAGTGGACTCTGGGATGCTCAGGCTGCAGGACCTGTGGTCCATGGTGTGCACTATGCCTCAGACCTGAGGCAGAAGGATGCACATTCCAGAAAGACGTGCTGTGCACATGCAGAGCATGAGATGCTGGGAGCCAGGGCCCTGTGAAGGGCCTGAACCTTGAGGGCAGGCAGGAACTAGACTGGCAGGGGGAGGCACGGGCACTCCCAAGAGATGGACTGCCCTGAGCCCAGTTTCATGGGAAGGAGCCATGGTGCTTGTGTGAGGGCAGCAAACTGTTCGATGGGGCCAGAGCCCAGGGCCTGGGGAGGGAGATCAAAGCCAGACCAGAACAAAGCTGGTGCTAGGTGATAGTCCGATACCCACCCTCACTCCCTGCTGTTCAGGCCTGGGTCCCACTCAGAAGCCTGTGTCTTCAGGGTCAAAGGCCCGTCCAGGGCGGTGCCACCCTCCTCCACTTGAAGCCACT